AATATAGATAATAGAATAGACAATACCGTTTTAAGTTGACATTCGACAGTGGGTGGACCGGCGGTCATCTTTGTGGTAGTAATTTGAAGTTAACATTTCAATTGCAGTGGTCTGAAGACATAGGTCCATTCTATGAATTATATTTCTATGATTGAAATGACACCCACCCTGTATTCAAGTGCATGTTGTGTGTCAACCGATGTCGGTGTTTTGGCATTCGGGTCCAAAAAGTCGCTTTCTGACCACTTCTTCCAAACAGGTACAGTTGAAGTGGGAAGTTTACATACACCTTAGCCAAATACATTTAAACTCAGTTTTTCACAACTCCTTACATTTAATCCTAGTAAAGATTCCCTGTCTTAGGTCAGTTAGGATCACCACTTTATTTTAAGAATGTGAAATGTCAGAATAATAGTAGAGAGCATGATTTATTTCAGCTTTTATTTCATTCATCACATTCCCAATGGGTCAGACGTTTACATACACTCAATTAGTATTTGGTAGCATTGCCTTTAAATTGTTTAACTTGGGTCGAACGTTTCGGGTAGCCTTCCACAATCTTCCCACAATAAGTTGGGTGAATTTTGGCCCATTCCTCCTGACAGAGCTGGTGTAACTGAGTCATGTTTGTAGTCCTCCTTGCTCGCACAGGCTTTTTCAGTTCTGCCCACAAATGTTCTATAGGATTGAGGTCAGGGCTTTGTGATGGCCACTCCAATACCTTGACTTGGTTGTCCTTAAGCCATTTTGCCACAACTTTGGAAGTATGCTTGGGGTCATTGTCCATTTGGAAGACCCATTTGCGACCAAGCTTTAACTTCCTGACTGATGTCTTAAGATGTTGCTTCAATATATCCACATCATTTTCCTTCCTCATGATGCCATCTATTTTGTGAAGTGCACCAGTCCCTACTGCAGCAAAGCACCCCCACAGCATGATGCTGCCACCCCCGTGCTTCACGTTTGGGGTTGTGATCTTCGGCTTGCAAGGTACCCCCTTTTTCCTCCAAACATAACGATGGTCATTATGGCCAAACAGTTATATTTTTGTTTCATCAGACCAGAGGACATTTCAACAAAAAGTAAGATCTTTGTCCCCATGTACAGTTGCAAACCGTAGTCTGGCTTTTTTATGGCGGTTTTGGAGGAGTGGATTCTTCCTTGCTGAGCGGCCTTTCAGGTTATGTCGATACAGGACTCGTTTTACTGTGGATATAGATACTTTTGTACCTGTTTCCTCCAGCATCTTCACAAGGTCCTTTGCTGTTGTTCTGGGATTGATTTGCACTTTTCGCACCAAAGTATGTTCATCTAGGAGACAGAACGCGTCTCCTTCCTGAGCGGTATGACAGCTGCGTGGTCCCATGGTGTTTATACTTGTGTACTATTGTTTGTACAGATGAACGTGGTACCTTCAGGCGTTTGGAAATTGCTCCCAAGGATGAACCAGACTTGTGGAGGTCTACAATTTTTTTTCTGATGTCTTGGCTGATTTCTTTAGATTTTCCCATGATGTCAAGCAAAGAGGCACTGCATTTGAAGGTAGGCCTTGAAATACATCCACAGGTACACCTCTAATTGACTCAAATGAGGTCAATTAGCCTATCAGAAGCTTATAAAGCCATTACGTCATTTTCTGGAATTTTCCAAGCTGTTAAAGGCACAGTCAACTTAGTGTATGTAAACTTCTGACCCACTGGAATTGTGATATAGTGAATTATAAGTGAAATAATCTGTCTGTAAACAATTGTTGGAAAAATTACTTGTGTCATGCACAACGTAGATGTCCTAACCGACTTGCCAAAACTATAGTTTGTTAACAAGAAATTTGTGGAGAGGTTGAAAAATGACTTCAACTGTACGTAAAGTTTTGTTTAAATCAAAAGGGATCCTGTCAAAAAGTGATTGAATTCAAATGGATTTACCCCATTCTTTTGTACAAGGCTGAGTGATTGAATTCAAATGGATTTACCCCATTCTTTTGTACAAGGCTGAGTGATTGTGCATACAAGTAAAACAACCACATCACGTCACAAACCTGTCTGACTAGTCGGTGCTGTTTTGACAAACAGCTTCAACTGAAAGACCAAGTCAGAGACAAACACCGAGGCTACTGCGTTGTTGAAATTGTAAAAGACAGAACACCCTCCATCTGCAATAAAGCCGAAGGATTCAGGATGTTGTAGCTGCCAATCTAGATATTGCCTGAATGGATTTGATGTTTTTATAGATGATGGTAATCTGAGCAGTATATTCAGGTATTTGCATATTTGTGCAGATAGTGCAGCTATATCATTACAGCCTCATTATACAAAATGATGGACAATTGGATTTATACCTCAAACTGACTGGAATTGACTGCCAACCATGCATACAGGTGAGCCATTGGAATCTTTACAGATTTATGATCTAAATTCTCAAAAGATAACATTTTTGCAGTTCCAGAGAGCAATGCAATAATCTCTTTATAGAGAAGCTTTGCTACATAGGCTGATAAGTCATTGCTATGGTGACTAACCTAACCTCTCTTTTGGTTTAATATTGCAACATCTGTGGCTAACAAATGGGAAGTATATGCTGGATAAAACCGCAGCTTTGCAGCTTTGGTGTCTCATTTTGAATGACCTCTCAATGAAATTAAAAATGTGTTCATGACATCATCATTTTCCCTTTTTATAGAAAGTAGGGAACTAAAAAGGTGGTATAAATCCTGTCAGTTGTTTTGCATGAATGTAATGAATGTAACGAATCAGGGATATTGAATGTAGTGTACCCCACCCTTACAGTGGATCAAATGTGATGCCTGATCATCCGTGCAGAATGTTTGTGGTGCACACACCCATACCGAGTATTCACATTGTGCTTATGACTTAAATTCTTACAGGGTTACTTACATTTGATCATGTCTCACTGCAATAAAGGGGTTCTTACTGTAACTGACCACGTGTGGTCGAGCTAGGTTCAGAGTGCATTGATGCATGGAACTGTAATGTGTTTACAGTGTGTTATCATTTTATTGGCCAAAGCACATGACCACACTGATCCATTCCAAAACAGTACAGAAATGTCCCTGTTTCCAATCTTTTCCCATTTCTCCTCTCCCTCTTTCCCTATCGCCTCCTCTCTCTATCTCTCTTTCACTTGCTCTCCCTGTCTCTGCCTCTCTTTACCTTTCTCACCTGCTCTCACTCTCTCTCTCTCTCTGTTACTTTGCTGTTGTTCATTAAAGAGATTATCCAGTACTTTTGTATACTTTTTAGCCAGTAGTTCTTAATGTAGTGCTCACAAGCCAAAAGTGGTCCCCGAAAATGGCGTGCTGCGTCACATATGTGCACCACGTCATTACTCTCTCTCTCTCACTCTGTTGTGGATGCATCATGTGCATCTTGCTAGCTGTCACTCATACAGTGGATCAAATACTTTTTTCCCTCACTGTATGGTGAGGGGCTAAAGCTCATAGGTTGAACTCAAATTGCTAGGGGGCTGGCCCACGTGGGGGAACATGTAGGGGAAATGTCGTGGCACAGCTTCCAGAAAAACAGTTGCTTTCAAACTAGGGATTTTGTGGCTAATTGAGGTAAAACAGTAATTCTGCTCATAGATTATACATGTATGAAGTACACATTGACACATCCAGCCCAAAGCGGGAGGTTTAAAAAATACTTATTATTCTCCAATGTTCCGGAGCATGATTTTAACAAGCTTTCAATGGGTGAATGGACTCTGTCATTAAGGAGATTTTATTGTTGAGTTGCCTATCATTAAACCTACTTATGTAACCTCAGTTTTCAGAGAGTTGAAAACCGTAAAATTATTATAGTTCAAGGTGGCATACTTGCAAGATAAAACTGTTGAAATACTGTAACTCATATTTGCAGTTTAGGCTGTAGACAGAGTAGTAGTGTACTGTATGTGTAGGAGGTGGGGTTAGCAACCATTAAATATGTGAAATGACTCCATACCTTAGGGGGGTAGGTCGCTCACTGAATTTGCTGGGTTGATTTTACGCACGCACGCACGCACGCACGCACGCACGCACGCACGCACGCACGCACGCATTCAACCAAAATGTGTCTTCTGCATTTAACCCAACCCCTCTGAATCAGAGAATTGCAGCAGTTGACCAAGGCAGTTGTTGTTGGGGGTAACTGCCTTGGTCAAGGGCAGAACAGCAGATTTTTCCACCTTGCCAGCTCAGGGATTTGAACCAGCAACCTTTCAGTTACTGGCTCAGCACTCTTAACTGCTAGGCTACCTGCCGCCAAGGGAAGCAAGATATATGAATACCCACAATGTTGCCTCATTTTGCACTTTATAATGCCAAGCTGTCCTATAGCTTTATCATCATTCCTCATCTGTGGTAGTGTCAGCTGGTTTCTCAGAACGATAGTTATTGCTCAATCCTATGGGTGTAGCATTTTCGGGAATAGAACCTGTTGTGAAGGCGTCTCGGAAGGTGTGCCTCTTACCAGTCCAAGTTTCCATTCCTTTCTTTCTTTCACTCGAGGATCTCTTGTACAGCTACAGAGAAATCTTTATTAGATTATTAGGATTTGATTACAGAATGATGCTCTGTGTGTATGAAAAGTTATATTGCTGTCATATTGAATGCTTACAATGGTTGTATTACCACATATCATATTTCTGGTTTCTGGTTTTTGATTATTATTTGTGTACTTGTTTGACATTTTTACTGCACTGTTAGGAGCTAGTAACACAATAATTTCGCTGCACCCGCTATAACATCTGCTAAACTGTGTACGTGACCAATAAACTTTGATTTGATTTGATATCATACCTGAGAACAAAATAAAACAGTATAATGACACTAGTAATGAGAAACTCTGTCAGACTGCCATCATTCAGACTGGCTGTATTCAGTCTTTCTCTCTCTCTGTCCTCTCCAGGTGAAAATGACATGCCAAAACTGACCCCTTGACTTGACCTCTGCTAGGTCAGGGCTCAGATTGGAATACCCCCGAAAGTCCAAACTCCTCAATATGTCCTTCCCGGAACACCTCACGTCCAAACCCCGGCCCCCCATCTCGAGGAAACCCCCTACCTCCAATGGAGCCCCCTCCACCCCCTCCCAGCTCGGAGAGAGGGGCAGCAAAGCCCGCAATTCGGGGGCGAAAGTCAAGAGCATTGTGAGTAAGTTCAGCCACCCAGAGACTCCACCAACCACCAGTGGAGATGCTACACTAACCACCGATCCTCCTCTCCGGACCCGAAGGCCCAGAAGGGCCCCCACAGTCAAACCCAAACCGACCCGGCCCTCCGTGCAGCAGTCTGGGGGTCCAGACCAGGCTCCTCCACTGCCCATGAATAGGAGCCGGATCCTGCCACAGGCTAAGATGGAGACCCCTGGAGGAGAGGAGGGGAATGGCATCCCAGTCAGTCGATCAGGTAGGGTCAGTCAGTATATCAATAAATTAATTAATCAATATTAATTTTTATGAGGCCTCTCACAAAAATGTTATGATAGGGACTGATAATTTGTTAGCATTAGCAATGTAGCCTACATATCTACAAGGCAAGCATTACAGACAGAGCAACAAAATGATATGGGTGTTCATTAATCAGTGTTGTCAAGTAACACAGTAACACATGACATAATCACTTTCATAACATATCAACAGAGAGCATTAACAACATTCCCAGCCAAACCCCACAAGCGAGCCCTAGGGTGGCAGGTTAAGAAAACAATCTGTTTGGAATTTGAATGGAACAAACATTGACAGGTTTCATGTACCGCTACAAAATGTCTTTGTCAGTTTGATGTTTACCACATGCAGCAAACGTCACCTATATGCATGTCACATGCGAGTGCAGTATGTGCGGTATGTTCCATTGTGAGCAGAATCTCTGCTCGTGTGTTTTCCCTAGTTCCTGAGGCTGTGAGGGAGACAACTGTTTTCACCTCACCTAGAAACAAACAGGTGTGGCTAGAACACGTGATCTAACTCCCCTAACAGACAGAAACAGGTTCTGTCAGTGCATCTGTATACTGTAGGTAAACACAGCTCTGTATAGGTAAAACTGGTCTACTGACACATACTGTCTGTACTCCAACACACCACTCTGGGACGAGAAGTGTGTGTGTGTGTGTGTGTGTGTGTGTGTGTGTGTGTGTGTGTGTGTGTGTGTGTGTGGTGTGTGTGTGTGTGTGTGTGTGTGTGTGGTGTTGTGCGTGAGCGAAGAGCGAGAGAGAGAGGAAGAGCGAGAGGAGCGAGAGAGAGGATATAGTAGAGAGAGAGGCTCGAGCCGCGCGATATCTCTCTCGCTCTTCGCTCGCTACTCTCCTCGCTCTCTCTCTCTCTCTCTCGTCTCTCTCTATCTCTCTCTCTCCTCAACGGTACAGAGAGGCAGAGAGACGGTATGTAGAGATGTCGAAGAGAGGCAGAAAGCGACAGAAAAATAGGTATAGAGGGAGAGGGCCAGAGGCTCCCTGTTTAAGACTGCACTGCTTAAAAGGCTTGAAGAGTGTCTCACTGTTTCTACTGTTGCAGTGGGAAAGAAAACAAGGAGTTGGTAGCATCTCTGACTGCAGAAAAGAACAAACAAATATCAAAATAGATCAACAAAATACATATTTTCATTTTTGGCTGTTTCCTGTTCATATTAAATGCTCATGAAGCTAAACAACTTGATAATTCCCTAAGTTTATCTGACAAAGCAGAAAAATAAATTATGAAAATAGGAACGTTGCAGATGTTAATTTGGCTAAAAAGGCAAACAGTGAACAAACACACACACACACACGTTTGTGTCACTATCCTTGTGGGGACCAAATAATTGATTCCCATTCAGAATTATATTTTTCACATTTTTCTAACCTTAACCCCAAACCCCTAAACTTAACCCTAACCCTAATTGTAACCCTAACCCAAAACTGAACCCCTAAAACAGTAGTTTACCTTGTGGGGACTGGTGAAATATCCCCACAAGGATAGTAAACCAAAACACACACACACTCACATTCCCATGTAAAATAATAATACTATAACAATAATAACAATAATAATAATATGCCATTTAGCAGACGCTTTTATCCAAAGCGACATACAGTCATCACTTTCAAAATACAGAAATGATCCCCGTATGATGCATTTTGCATCATATGATGATGCATTTTGCTTCATATGATGCAAAATGCATCATACGGGGATGATTTCTGTATTTTGAAAGTTACATATCTTGAAAACTGACAAGCAAAACATGTTGGGACTATGTCAACAATGGACTAATGAAACAAATACCAAAATATAGTTTCTGGGTGGAGTTTTCCTTTAATGTTTAGCTTTCCATAGAGAACTGAGGTTAATCAGGACACAGAAAGAGGAACACACGCTCACACACACACACATACACACAGACACAGTGAAAGTGATATGCCCTGCTATCATAGAATACAGATGTAGGAACAGTCTAGCCAGGAAGCAACACATTCACAGTGATCAGTGAATGCCATAGAGGGTTTAAGTCTGCCAAGGTTCAAGGTTCAATCCAGGCCTGAAACAGAGAAAGTGATCCCTAGTTTTGGGGTTCCTTTTAACAATAAAGTAATAATTGTATTTCTGATGCATTGCTAATTTCCCATTACTTCAAATGTCTAAGCAAACATGGGGCAGTGGATGTAAGAAGTGATGTTATGTTAGAGCTATGTTATTGATGTGTTGACCCTCCAAACCATCTAACTCCATGTCCCTCCCTCTCCCACAGCACCTGACGGAAAGGAGGTGGAGCTTCAGCTGATTGGAGAAGTGAAAGCAGAGGCGGAGAACGGTTCAGACACGCCCCTTAATCCATGCTGCGACTGGGACTGCAGCTGTGTGTGCCACGTTCACATGCCCGGCATGAAGCTGGTATGGGTGCCCATCGATGAGGAAGAGGAAGAAGAGGAGGAGGAGATTGAGCTGGAGGCAGAAACGGAGGAGGAGGAGAGAGGAGGGGAGGGGGAGAGCAAGGCGGGGGATGAGGAGGAGGGGAGCGGTTTGTCGAGTGAGCAAGGGGCGGAGCAGATATTAAAGAAGGCTAAGTTAAACCAGGTTCAGGATGTGATGATATCCAAAGGCAACCAGAGAAGGTCAGACCCGGGATCCCAGGTCATTCTGACCTCCTTGGCCCTAAAATGCCCCCAGTCACCACCCATCCCCCCTAAACAAACCCAATCTCCACCAAGCCATTTTAAAGCTTCCATAGAGGAGGAGGAGGAGTCTATATATGAAGATACTCTACTAATGGCGGAGCCAACACCTAGAAAGATCTGTCAAGAACTGGACATTCCCCTTATCAAGGTTCAGAAACCGGTCCATTGGTCAAAACTGTCCTCCAGCAACTCGGAGGACAACACTTCGATCCACCCATCCCAAACCCAGACTAATGAGGACGCCCCCTTGGCCATCCCACCTCAGCTAGCCCTCGCCCAGGACAAGTCCAAAACACCCGGCCACAACCTTATGCCCGTTCACAGGGGGGGTATCGCCTTACCCCAGCCCACCGCGGAGGAGTGGCGCTCCCTGCGCCCCTCACCCGCCAATCCTTCCACCAGCCCCATAGTACTCCACGGGGCAGGCTACAGAGTCCCCCCACCTCAGCTCCCCAAGACAGGCATCTCTGTCCATTCTGTCAAGCAAGCTATAAAAGGTCGGTATACAAGTAAACACACAATAAACCTGTTTTCTAGCATCTTTTACAGTGAGAGGTCATACAATAGAAAAAGGTTTATTGTTCATGCTTTTGTGTCTCTCTAGAACAAGAGGAGGATGGAAGCATTGAAGGAGAGGAGGAGGACACAGAAAACGAGCGGTAAGCTCACTCATCCCTGATGTTCTTCTATTTCTTCCTCTTATCTCTCTTCTGATGACCTCCATATTTCCTCTTCTACTCTCATCGCCCATGTCTTGTTTTGGCCCTGTTGAAAATCGTCCTTCCTGTAAGTGACCACAGATCAGAGAGGGTTGGATTAGTGACGGTGATAGGGTATCACTTAACCAATCACTTATCAGTGATTAAAGGAAGGAAGGATATTTGAAGTGTTAGAACCAGACCTATTTCTCACTCATTCATTGTCCAGCTCAGTCAGTTATATAACACACTGCTCTTCTTCTTGCTAGTGCCCCTCTCAGGAGAGGATCCTCTATTGGCTGGGAGTCCAGACAGCAGGACGGTAAGGTGTAGCTCAGTTGGTAGAGCATGGCACTTGCAACGCCAGGGTTGTGGGTTCGATTCCCACGGGGGGCCAGTATGAAAATAAAAATATTTTTAAAAGTATGCACTCACTAACTGTAAGTCACTCTGGATAAGAGCGTCTGCTAAATGACAAAAAATGTAAAAAATGTTACCTGACAACCAAAACGCACCCAAAATATCAGACACGGATGAATCAGGTTACAGGTGGAACTATAGGTGAAACATTAGACCAAAGGAACAGAACATTCTTGGTCCATCATCATTGTTTGAGGGTCACCCATAGAGTATTATCCCACATATTAAAACCTCATATTTTAAAAATGGTTTCACCTTTGCCCTTTGACCCCTCAGTACCTCTGTACCAGACGTACCGTGCCACCGTCATCCACAAGGAGATCCGGCGCCAGACGGTGTGTCGCAACACAAGCAAGACCAGTGCCGACCTCCACATGGACTGGACCGCGCGCCGGGGTGGAGTGGGTATGGGGTCGGGCGGCGTGGGGGCGGTGGGCATGGGCAACGGGGCAGCCAGTGCTACTATTCCGTTGCCCACCCCGGGCCAGAGCACCCTGTGGCAGGACCTGCAAGAAGTACGGGACAGTGGGGTGCTGGAGACCCTCAGCCCTGCACATTGCAAGTACCAGGAGGTGAGAAAGAGGGTGGGTGGGTGGGGGAGGAATAGGAGGGGAGGGAGGGAAAGGAAGAATGAGGATAGAGAAGCAAGCTCAATTTACTGCTCAGTTTTTCACAGGTAACTGCATGGCTGCCGGAACATGGGTGTGTCAACATAAACAGGCGTATCAACATAAGTGGGTGTATGGAAAGCAAACAACTAATTTGGCGGATTTGTTGCCACTCAAGGCAGCTTTGCGTAGCTACAACTGTGAGAGCATTTTAGCTAAGCCTAACCCTAACCCTTTTCCTAACCATAACCTCATTCTCCTAACCTGTTACGTTAACCTGCTACATTAATTCTCCTAACCTGCTACGTAAAAACGAACCATCAATCCCAACAAAGCATCAGTATCACCACACAGGAACTGACCAATGAAAACGCATTAAGAAATGAAAAACAACAAAGCTCAATCAAAAACCATCTAACCAATCAACAAGTGTTGATGTTACACCCATTGCTGATGATTCATCCACTTTTTTTGCCTCGCCCATTTTCAGATACAAATCCCGCGTATGCAGCCAGTTATCCATACTTGGCTTTTTTAGTCATCAAGTAAAGTGAATATTTGATATTTTAGTTGACTGAATTTCACCTCAATGGACTGAATGCCAGCAGTTACCATCAATTGTAAATTCAGTACAAAAATGTGGCCATTTAATCATTCCAATATGGGTATGTCTTGGGATATTTCAGTGATGGGTTGATTGTACTGTATGAATGAGAAGTTCATCGTCCCGTTGTCTCTCTCCCCTCAGAGTATGTTTGAGGTGTTGACATCGGAAGCGTCGTACCTGCGTTCCTTACGCGTTCTCAAGGAACACTTCCTGGAATCCCGGGAGCTGGAGGAGGTGCTGATCATCCGGGACAGGAAGACCCTCTTCTCCAACGTCCTGCGAGTCCTGGGGGTCAGCGAGAGGTGAGAGAGAGGGAGGAATGGGGGAAGGGCTAGAGAGGGGTACTTGGCTAAAACAGTAGGGAGTCAGAGTAAGGAAGGAGTAATGACTCAGATATGACTCAGCAGCGTGTGGAGGGTTTTGCTCCAGCCCAACTTGAACATAAATAAAAATGTTCCTCCTTCACTGTTTCGTTGCGTTAATAAACCCCTCAAGGAAATCAACCATAACCTTTGACCTTTCTAACCCTCCCACCATTAGTTTTCTGAAGGACCTGGAGAACCGTATGGAAGAGAGTCTGGTGTTCTCCGACATCTGTGACATCATCCACTTCCACGCGCAGCACAACTTCCCGGTCTACATCGACTACGTCCGCAACCAAATCTACCAGGATAAGACTTACACCTCCCTCATGTAAGACTGGCTTCATTACTGGGTCTCACAGGTAGGGTTGCAAAATGTTGTTAATTTCACCCAAAATTCCCTGATTTTCCTGAAAACGCTGTTAGAGGATCCTGATTCCAGGAATCTTCCAACTGGAATTTTGGGAAAACTTTGGAATTTTGGGAACGTTACCTGAATTTTCCAACCTTACTCAGAGGCCTCTTGGTCTGACAATTTACTCAACCAGAGGAGGATGAGGTCCTGAATTATGTGTTTGTCACCACAGGAAAACCAATGTGGAGTTTGCTGCGGTCATCACCCGTCTGCAGGAGTCTCCTCAGTGTCAGCGGCTGCCATTCACGTCCTTCCTGCTGCTGCCCTTCCAGCGAATCACACGCATCAAGATACTCATCGAGGTGAGGGGCATCATGGTAACTGTAGTTGTTGTGGGCCGCTGTGATGTGGACTACAAGGGAGTGTGATCACAGTGAAAAGCATTAAACCTTATTACCTTTATTAGATTTTTTGGCTTGAATCCAGATCGTCATTTGTTTGTCTTGTATAATATGGCTTGTTGTTGTTGTTGTTGTTTATCAGAATATCCTGAAGAGAACAAATGAGGGGACGGAAGAAGAGCAGACTGCCTCCAAGGCCTTGGACTCTGTTTCTAAGGTAACACACCTTTCCTCTTTCCATCCGTCCGTCTGCCCGCTCACAGACGTTCCGACTGTTCCATTCTAAAGCAGTGTTCCACACCGGTCTGGAATATGGAACAATGACGTCAATCCCCTGGTCTTTTGTGTGGGATAGAGGATATCATATTGTGAGAGAGAGAGACTCACTGTGTCACTGCAGACAATATGACCAAGTACAGGAGAGAGAGATAAAGACTGTCTGTCACTGCAGTACCAGCTAGTGTTATTCAAGTAGAGGGGGAACCTCTTGAAAAAGAGAAGAACTTGATACACTTGTGAAAGAGAGGAACATGAAATGAGAGAAGGGCTATGTGGATTGTTTCTCATTTCTATGTGAAAGGAAAAGTGAAGGAGCTGCCAAGAGGTCTCTGATCTACTGTTTTCATTCAGTCTCTTGTTCTTTTTCTAGCACGATTTCTTTCTTTCTTTTTTTCTTTCTGTCTTCCTCTACCTATCCCTCTCAGATCATAGAGGAGTGCAGCACCGAGGTGGGAAAGATGAAGCAGGTGGAAGAGCTGATCCACCTCTCCAAGACGCTGGAGTTTGACAAGCTCAAGGTAACCAATGAATCAGTCAGTCAGTCAGTCAGTTAATACACCACCCAAATACACTAGAAACCTATCCCTTTCTGCTTGATTCTTATACATTTTTCTCTCTCTTTCAATTTCTCCACCTCTCTCTCTCTCTCCATCTATACTCCCCACCCCTCTCTTTTTCTCTCCCTCCCTCCCTCCCTCCCTCCGTCTCTCTCTCTCCCCCTCCCTCTCTCTCTCTCTCTCTCTCTCTCTCCCCCTCCCTCCCTCCCTCTCTCTCTCTATCAGGCTATCCCCATCATCTCCCAAAACCGTTTCTTGGAGAAGCGTGGGGAGTTACAGGAGATGGCCAAAGGGAGCACCCTCTTCAACCTGCGTCCCAAGTTCACCCCCGTCTACCTCTTCCTCTTCAACGACCTGGTCATCATCGCCACCAAGAAGGGGTGAGTCCCCCATATGGTGTTCATAAGGCTTTATGAAGCCTTTATAAACCTTTACACAGCCTTTATCCCTCAAAAATGCTTCACAAATAATTTATAACCAAATGTCATGCTAGAATAGAAGGTGGCTCTACATTCATACATTCTAGGACTCATCTTAGACTGTCTTAGCCCTTCAATGTGATTGGTTCATCCTCTTATCCCTGTTAGTTCGGAGCGGTTTGTGGTGTTGGACCACGCCCACCGCTCCCTGGTCCAGGTTCAGCCAATAGGAGACGACCAGGCCTCGAGCCCTAGCTATGAACACTGCTTCTGCCTGACTCTACTGGAGAACCACCAGGGACGCATGATGGAGAGACTGATGAAGGCCCCTTCACAGTGAGTAGTACACAGTGTGTGTGTGAGAGAGAGAGAGAGAGAGAGAGAGTGAGTGTGCCCGTCTATTCACACTCTATGGTCTGTTTCACATGTCCATTCTCTCCTCTCTTCTTGTCTTTCTTTTCCCCCCTCATCCTTTCTTCTCAGGTCTGACCTGCACAGGTGGATAGCAGCGTTCCCTAACCCCAGTAAACCTGATGGGGACAAGGAGGAGGTTATCTATGACGACTGGGGTGAGTGACTGGGTATAGCTCGGTGACACACACCCTATAACTAGCCGCAGTAAGGCAGCAATTAGTGACTGAGCTAGTTGCCAAATTCAACCATCCACACACACATCTAGCCTCAGTTTGCCTTACATGGACACACTTTGAGCTATTTGCACTTGTGGTTTATAATTGTGTGGTTTCTTGATATTTACTGTTGTGTCTCTGTCCTCAGACTGTCCTCAGGTGCAGTGTGTGGAGCAGTATGTTGCTCAGCAGGCTGATGAGCTCACCCTGGAACCCAGTGAGATCATCAACGTGGTGCGGAAGACCAACGAGGGTAAGTCCTGGCAGGAAACTAATGTCCTGACCTGTGGTTGGTTAGGAAACTGGGTAGCACTTTATTTTACAATCCAGAAATTATCATTTTTTTACTTGATAAAATGATAACACAGTAATAAATGAAACACTCCTCTTTCCCCCAAACCCCCTCTTTGTATGTCTTTATCCCAACAATTCTAATTCAACCCTTAACCTGGTCCTCTACCTATTAGCAGTTTATTGATTTGTGATGTCGGTTATTTTGCATGATTTATATATAAACATCCTATCTCCCCCCTGCATTCGCCCCTTCCTCTCCTCCCTTCTCCACCTACATTCCCTCCCTTTAGGTTGGTACGAGGGGATCCGTCTCTCCAACGGACAGAAGGGTTGGTTCCCCATGGAGAACGCTATAGAGATCACCAACGAGTATGTGCGGCGGCGGAACCTTCGAGAACGCTATCGGGTCATTCAGGCCGCCAGCATCGTCACCAACAACAAGGCCAAGACTACCCCGTAATGTGGAACATCAGGGGAACGTTCCTAAATATTAAAGACCATGACTTAGGAGCACCTTAATGTTGACAGAACATCCGCAGAATGTTTACATAACGTCACTAGAACATTGTTGGAATATTAAACTGGATAGGAGAGAGTGAACCAGTGCTTGCCATGCATGCTCCCCTGAAGAACTCTTAGCTGGAGAAATGAGGAGCTCTCGGAGGAGTTCTTTCTTATCATATCGTTCGATTGGCATGTTTTGTTTTTGTACAAATTGCTCATTTGGTGAAGTTATGGGATAATGTTTTTTTCGGGAACTTTTACATTTTTTTTTTTACATTTTAGTCATTTAGCAGACGCTCTTATCCAGAGCGACTTACAGTTAGTGAGTGCATACATATTATTATTTTTTTTGTTCATACTGGCCCCCCGCGGGAATCGAACCCACAACCCTGGCGTTGCAAACGCCATGCTCTACCAACATCCCTGCCAGCCATTCCCTCCCCTACCCTGGACGAATTGTGCGCCGCCCCATGGGTCTCCCAGTCACGGCCGGCTACGACAGAGCCTGGATTCGAACCAGGATCTCTAGTGACACAGCTAGCACTGCGATGCAGTGCCTTAGACCACTGCGCCACTCGGGAGACTAAGAACCAGGAAATGAAATGTAGTCTTACGGAAGGAGAAGGATGAGGAACTTCTTCTGAACCTAATTTATTACAGGCAAACTAAAATGTACTCATCCCTGTAAAGTTTGCCTAATGTTCAGTGTATTTGTTTGTGTGAGTGTGCATGTTTGATAGTGTGTGTGTATGAACCTGCACCTAACCCCACACTGCCAAAGGAAAGCCCCAGTTGAAAAGTGCCCCTGCGCCAATATATCAGCCAGAGCTACCATGTCAGCAGGTAGTTTAGTGGTTAGAGCATTGGGCCAGTAACCAAAAAGTCACTGGATCCAATACCTGAGCCGACAAGGTGAAAGTCTTTCGATGTGCTCTTGAGCCTGCCACTTAACCCTAATTTGCTCCAGGGGCGCCGTACTAGTATGTGACAATAAAAAACAAGTTGGTGGCTGAAATTGTCTTCATTATGTAACACACTGCCAACAGACAATGATTAGTCTACAGTAGTCATCACAGGAATGCATTGACAGCCCATAATGCTAACAAACACACAGTCAGTCACATTCCTCAGTGAACACCAACATACCTGGAATAGCTGAGGTAGGGTCAGACAAGGAGAACCGGTACAGTATTTTTCCTCTGACATAAGTACACCTATATTTTTTTTACAGACATGGTATTTGTGTGGTTCATGTTAAGGAAGGTGATGAATGAACAAAATCATAAAAAATTTCCTGAACACTATCAGTTAGATGGGTCAAACTCTGAAGTCCCTTCCAATGGATTGTACTATAAGCACAAGTCCTACAGCTGCTGTTTCGTAATCACTACAGGGTTGAATACATTTGACTGTCACTTTTGGACACAAAAAAGTAATAGCTAAATCATGTACACTACCAGTCAAAAGTTTGGACACCTACTCATTCAAGGGTTTTTCTTTATTTTTACATTTTATACATTGTAGAATAATAGTGAAGACATCAAAACTATGAAATAACACATATGGAATCATGTAGTAACCAAAAAAAGTTAAATAAATCAAAATATATTTTATATTTGAGATTCTTCAAATAGCCACCCTTTGCCTTGATGACAGCTTTGCACACGCTTGGCCTTACTGGCACAACGCTCTTAACCACTAAGCTACCTGCCGCCCTATATCATAGGTGTATTACATTATTTAGCAGGCCTGATAGACTACTAGTTCTGATGCCCAATTCCAAATCAGCCCCAAGCACGCCCTAGCCTAGGCACTTGAATACATGTGAAAGGACTGGATAGGTGTAAACTCTGTGGTAATTGCTCCACCTTTACCCCTGACAGATTTGCTGGAATTGTATTTTTGCCGAATTAAGCAGGCGTAAATGGACCGCAATTCCCCTTTCATGCACTTCTCTCTATGCGTATTCTGACCGTGAATTTAAGCATGAGAATAGCATAATATCACCTGCTATTTGTTTTGGGTGGACATCAACGAAATGAAGGTGTGGCGATGGTTTGTTTACAGATACGCAGTATTCTGACTGACTTAATTCCAAAACCTTTATGCGCGAGGAATCCGTGAATAAGGTCGGTTCCAAGTGGGAAAAGCATCTACTTTATTTTTTCCCGATAGAAATAACAGCATTCTCCATGCACTGTAATTCATACATTGATGAGAGCTATTGATAAGAGCTAGATATTTTAGTAATCCGTTATGAGAAGGGGATTATAAATACACATAGCAATTGTTTTAGATTATTTTTCCTTATGATCCATGGGGAAAAATGTTATACCAGTCATATGGAAGCAAACTGAAAATCAAATCAACATGATGTATTGCGGCCCCTTTCTCCCAGCGAAGTAGGCTATAAATAGCTGTGCCATTATTTTAATTGTATGCCTTCATAATGCGGCAAACCTGTCAAGTTGATTTATGCGCTTTAGAATGTTTTAATTATATGCCAGGGCTTTTCTTAGTTTTATTTTACAATTTGTATCATGTTAAATATTTAGTGTTAGTTTCCTTCAATTTGTAGCCTACATATTGATTCGTTCCATTCACCATTCTTTCTTCAGTTATGTCCATGTAGTTGTTCCTGAGGGTCGCTAACCTTAGTGGATGATATAAAGCCTTTTTTTTTGCGGATCATATAGATCCGGTTACACTCGACTCTGGGCGGCAGTAAGAAACCATCACCATTTTTTGGACATTTTAGTCATTTAGCAGAGGCTCTTATCCAGAGCGACTTACAGTTAGATCGCGCCCATTCAACATAGTCTAGATTTAAGTTTGTATTACTTTTAAACAAAATAGAAGTTATCATATGCTTGCAATGATGTTTTGATTCATGCTTGAACAGTAGCTAAGATTATATTCGGTTGTGAGCTTTGCAAAATAACAATTCTGAATGCAGCAGTTGTTAGCTAGAATGCTAAGACTCATTGATATTGGCTGTAGCAAAAGCTAGCCAAATAGCCATTTTACTGGTTGAAGTTGACGTGTTTAAGTATAATGCAGTTGCTTTGCGATGATGACACAAACATTATATTAAGCAGGACATTCATGTGAGCCTTAAATCCAATTATAATCCAAAAGTAGTGTGAAATGCACTCAATCAACATGTAAATAGAGGCTTTTTTTTTGCTGGTGGTCTATAAGACCTCCCCCTTGTTCTGCCACCAACATGCGTGCATCGCCCTCTTGCAGTAATGTTTGTAAACACAGAAAGGGGTCTATTGGGCAAATATTGTGCAATGATTTGGGACATTTTGAATCATTATGGAACTCAGACCACACGTAGCAGTTTCAACCCGGTTCCATGATTAGTGAGGATTAGAGTAGATTTATAGGACTATTGTTCAACCCCTATTGTACACTTTTTCCCACCTTCCAATATTGTATGGGTTGAACTTGAATATGGCAACTTTCAGGATGAATCAAGCCACTATTTTTGATTCATCAATATATTTAGTGCATAAAAGCTCTCCAAACCAGTTTATGATTCATACATACTTTCCTAGCCCTAAAATATGCCTAAATAATCTACAAGACCAGAGTATTTTTTAAATCTACTAGTTGGTGTTGAATCGGAGATGAATATGCATATATTTTGATGGCTTTCTTTCATTGATCCCTATATTCTGAACCCATTCTCTCGATGTATTCTAGTAAATCTGTCAACAAAATTCTAATTAAAGATACACCGTATTTAAAGGGATGGCTTAAGATAAATGTACTGAAAACCTTATTGAATGAAAACTCCATGGGAAAATCTGTTGGCCAGCAAGTGGGAGGGTTTTCAGCAGTTGAATTAAATGTATTCAGTGTGTGCAAGGTACACACACCTGTAGAGCGCATTATGCTCCTGCATTAGTTAAATCTGACTACGAACTACCAGGGTGCAAATTACGGGGGAGCCGAGAGAGGAGGGGGGGGGGGGGGGGGGGGGGGGCTTAGCTCCCCTGAATTGACTTCTGTTGCATTTAGGGTAGCTAAACTTGGGGAACTGAATAATGCTAATTTAACCATTCTCCTATTTGTTTAAAATGTAGTGGTTAATGTGTTTTACAGTGGTAAATACAAATAAAAGCTTCCAAATGAAACAAACACCCACACCTCTCTTTCATGTTTTAAACCATTCATTTCTATATGGTGGAGCTGTCCACTCAGTAGTGCAATTTCAGCCTCTACTGAGCTCCTTTATGTACAGATTTTCCTTTGTACTTCCTCATTTTTCACAATTTGTTTGCCATGTGTCCTTGATAAAAAAAATTGCCTTTATTCCAACGCATTATATTTAGCCGTTGATTTATCATTGTTAGATTTTGTCAGTCAGCTGTTTAGAGCGCTCTGCGTGCGGATACTGGTGTTCTCTGTGCAATCCGTGGCCAGAAGTAGCAGACCATTTATTAAACTTGATTATTTTCTGTCAATATTTGTTTTCTTTCCTGGATCAGCTGATGGTCAACAATATCACTAGCCTACAGCTAGACACCAATGTGCAGTGTACGATAATGACAGTAGGCCTATAAGGTGACTCTTTTGGATGGAAGAGGTTAATGACGGTTAGAAGGGTTCAATTTTGCAATGGCATAGGCCTACATTATTTTGGATTTGTGTGCCGATGAGAACTGTTGTCATGGCGAAACATAATAAAATGTTACGTAAGCATAGTTACACTTACAGTGCATTTTCAGAGATCTCCAAGATCCTTGATTCATACAGGGTTTAAGTTCAATGTTCCAATTCAATTGTTGAATGCTTAATAATGACAAATAACACTGTCATAAATGTCGCACTCTGTAATTTGCACTCTGCCAACTACTGAGAAGTGTGTAGGAAAGGCGTACATTTCTTAAGTTTGAATCAGGCCCTTGGTGTGCAGCTGCTGGTATTGCGCAATAGTTTGGCTATCTGTCTTTGTCTGTCCTCTATGGTTGAAGTGCCCCCTGTGGCTGACTATCATTGTGAATGCTGGGATACTATTGTAGATTCATGCACTGTGATCTATGCTGTACGTACATGTACTGTGTGTTTGAGCGAGTGGGTTTTCTCTGGTTCAAGACAGTATTATTCTTAATAAAACAAGTGTTTTTTTTTTATTTTTTTTTATTATTTTTAAATTGGAGTGTTTTTAACACATCAGATAAGATTAACTTGAGTCTAGAAGATGAATATATTATCATATTTAACTATTTGGCAAGTAACACATTTAAAAATGGCACATAGGAAGCTGAA